TTTACTGAGAATTGTATTCTGACTTGTTCAATAAAGTTTAAAAAAAAAATCTTTTTCCCCCGGAGTTGATGGAGTTGTTTAAAAGTGACACTGGATGAATATTTCATTGGATTTAGTCATTTGGAGTGACACCGATGGTTTGCTAAACTTGTTAGCGTGTTCTTTATGCTATAGTTATCTGAATAATTCTTGATATGTTACGTTTTATTTTAATTTTAAATTGCCTTTCAAGATGCCATGTCTGTTCTTGGTGTTGAATTTTATCAAATGAATTTCCCCCAAAAAAGTGACTTGTACTCCAGTGCGATTTATGTTTTTTTTTTCCCTCTTTATTATGCATTTTATGACGATTTATACTCATAATAAATATAACATGGATAACGTAAAAACATCAGCATGACATACAACACAATACGTCAACAGAATCAAACGGTAGAACGACAAATTGCTCAATTTCATATAGGGCCAAGAATGCCAAGGAGAACAAATGTGTTTTTAAAAACAAGATTTAAATGCAAGAGGATTGGTGGCTAGCTCAATCTGGTGGTGGAGGTGGGGGGTTAACAGCAAAATTTATGTCTCTCCGAATTTCAATCTTGCTCTTGGAATGACAGAGTTACTGTATATGTTGGTGATGCTCAAAGACGGAGGATGAAGTCAATCAATTCAGAGCTTTATTAGCAAAAAAAGATTTTTAACATCATTCTGAAATGTATTGGGAGACAATGGAGGGACGCTAGTAGGCTAAATATGAAATACATAGATGGCAATGGCGAGTGATGAAAAAAGCGGAAGGGGTTCTCAATTCGTTGTTTTTGCGTTTATGCGTTGAATAAGTGTACGATATGCTCACGTTACATGTGAGCATATCATACACTTATTCAACCTGTTGTTCTATATTTTTATTTTTATTTGCCTTTCAAGGTGTCGTGTATGATCTTGGTGTTGGATTTTATCAAATGAATTTCCCCCCAAAATGTGACTTGTACTTCAGTGCAATTTGTTTATTTTTCCTTCTTTATTATGCATTTTATGACGATTTATAATCCGGAAAATACGGTACATACAGTAGGTAAAATATAGCATGAATAACGGAAAAACATCATCAACATCATGTCATACAACACAAACCATCAACAGAATCAAACGGTAGGCCGACAAATTGCTCATTTTCATATAGGGCCAAGAATGCAAAGGAGAACAAATGTGTTTTTAAAAACAAGATTTAAATGCAAGAGGATTGGTGGCTAGTTCAGTCTGGTGGTGGTGGTGTTAATTCAGACAGACTTTGTGGGCCGTAACAGCAAAATCAATGTCTCTCCGAATTTTAATCTTGCTCTTGGGATGACAAAGAGTTACCGTGTATGTTGGTGACGCTCAAAGAGGGAGGATGAAGTCAATCAATTCAGAGTTTTATGCAAAAAATGATTTTTAACATCATTCTGAAATGTATTGGGAGACAATGGAGGGATGCTAGTAGGCTAAATATGAAATATACTCTTGCCTAGCCTACCACTGGTTCAAAATTCCCTTCGACTCCATTGCCCAGCGGTGAAAAACTCACGCAGCACATCCAGGAGCCTGTAACAGGATCCTTAACCTTCATCAAATCACGCCGGGGGTCACGAACTTTCATGAGGGTTCTTGTCGGCAGCTGAAGAGCAGCTGTCGCCTGTAAGAGTCGTCATCACTTCCGGGAGAACATTTTTTAGTTGACCATCCATATTGTCACTAATCAAGTGTAATCACTCATGCGGCCAATTCCTCACTCAAATTCTTGATTGTGCTTGATGAAGATTGCACTGCTGTTTCGCGTTGTACTGAGGACAAAACACACACATACATAAGAGAGGATGGAATGCAAGTTCTTATAAACGTACAGGTGCGTAATTGTTGAAATAACCATTTTTTAGGGACATCAGTGATGACAAACATCATTATTACATCATCACTTCCATGGTTTTACATCCACATCAAAACAGCAGCAAACATGTCAAACCAATAATTCCATGTACTATATTATTCCCATGAAATTTGTCCTTAAGTATATTTGGGGACGGTTATAGTCTGTTTCTCATTACAAATTATTTCCAAGGCTTGAGAAAAAAAAAAATTCCCTTTGAGGGGCATTTCTGCTAATCACGTACTTAATTTTTGCGTGGTTGGCACATTTTGTGTTTAAGTCAAGTCAAGTCAGTTTTTTTGTCAAACATGCTCTATGTGCAACATACAGCACAGATGAAATTACTTTCCTCTCTCAACCACAGTGCAAACATGTTGTGCATTGAAACACACACAGCTAAAAATAATGGCAAATAAACATGAAATAGCAACAATGGACAGGGGAACTGGAAAAAAGACAGGATTAGGTCGAGAAAGATTTGATAAGAGGGTGATAACCTCAAAATATGGGGTCGCTGCTCTGTCAAGTGAGCGCCAATCTTTGACTTCATTTGAGGAGTTGAAATTTTCACCAAATTTAGGAATAGATGTCAATGTGTTACATGCCTGACTTTAGCTTCTGTTATCTAGTCATGTGCGGGAACAATATTAGGCATGACGTTTTCAATGCAATTTTTGTACCCACTATCGAAAATAGAAACATTTCATGGAACCCAAAGTCACCTTTTATACCCTACTTTGAAACTCTAACTGTTTTCAAACCATTGGTCACACGTTCTTATCTTTGAATATTTCCTCAATTTTATAAGCACTGCTAAATATCAGATACCTTCATGGAATCCAAACTGTCCTTTTTTATTGGATTTTTTGGATAAATAAATCAATGTTGAATTGTAACCAGGGCATCAAGCTGAAAAACTTGGTCTCCATTTGACTCATACTGTTTTATTTAGTAAAATTGCATCGGACAGACAGGATTAGGTCGGGAAAGTTTTGATAAGAGGGTGATAACCTCAAAATATAGGGTCGCTGCTCTATCAAGTGAGCGCCAATCTTTGACTTCATCTGAGGAGCTGAAATTTTCACCAAATTTAGGAACAGATGTCAATGTGTTACATGCCTGACTTTAGCTTCTGTTATCTAGTCATGTGCGGGAACAATATTAGGCATGACGTTTTCAATGCAATTTTTGTACCCACTATCGAAAATAGAAACATTTCATGGAACCCAAAGTCACCTTTTATACCCTACTTTGAAACTCTAACTGTTTTCAAACCATTGGTCACACGTTCTTATCTTTGAATATTTCCTCAATTTTATAAGCACTGCTAAATATCAGATACCTTCATGGAATCCAAACTGTCCTTTTTTATTGGATTTTTTGGATAAATAAATCAATGTTGAATTGTAACTGATGTCTTCCGTTTTTGGAATCCCCTTAAAATTTTTACAATAGCATAACATTTAGGTACTCTCACCATTTTACGTATAATAGTTTTTTTTCATTAATCGTCCGATTAATCCATAACCAGGATTTTTTTTTTCTGTCAAAAATCGGCATCGGCCTTAAAAAGTCCATCGAACAAGTGAGACCTACTTTTAAGCTTACAGGCCACTCCTCCCGGCAGAAGTATGTCATACATTTCTCTTATCTTTGAATATTTCCTCAATTTTATAAGCACTGTTAAATATCAGATACCTTCCATGGAATCCAAACTGTCCTTTTTTTATTGCATTTTTTGGATAAATAAATCAATGTTGAATTGTAACTGATGTCTTCCGTTTTTGGAATCCCCTTAAATTTTTTACAGTAGCATAACGTTTAGGTACTCTCCATTTTACGTATAATAGTTTTTTTTCACTAATCGTCCGATTAATCCATAACCAGGATTTTTTTTTCTGTCAAAAATCGGCATCGGCCTTAAAAAGTCCATCGAACAAGTGAGACCTACTTTTAAGCTTACAGGCCACTCCTCCCGGCAGAAGTATGTCATACATTTCTGGTTTCCGGTCCTCTTTAGCTGTCTAACATAATCGTGTACAATTTTCTCTCCAAAAACTTAATTTGCCTGCTCTTTCGTTGTTCGAAATTCTATATTTTCTGCTTCGATGTGTTTCCAGCCAGAGTTGCATGAAAAGTGTAATCAATCACCCGAGCACTAAATGCCGGTGTTTCACAATTACCTGTCATGATTGCTTAACAATTAGCATCGCTTCTCTTTCTTCTGTTAATTACAACTCATCATCCGTTCGTAAGAATGATATTCATCGGAAGTGTAGCTTATTCGCCGCTGTGGAGGCGATGATTACTGGCTTAGGAGGGATTCCACAATGCATTTACATGCACTAGCTACAAACTGAAGCTCATTGCAGGCAAGACAGTGTGGCTTCATTAGCACCAAGATGGCCTTCGTTGTAACCAAACAATGGAAATCAGGGAGGATGGCTACTTCCTGCGCAGGTGTGACCAAAGCATGTTGCACCACGTTATCACATGTGCGTCCAGCCCAAGGAAAAAAATGAATCTCACAAACCAGTCATATTGTTAAGCGTTGCATGTTTAGTTTTAATGAAAGGAGGGTAGAATTCTGCGTTGATTGACTGGAACAGATCCTGGGGAAGAAACACTTCCCCTGAGGGCATCAAGCTGAAAAACTTGGTATCTATTTTACTCATACTGTTTTATTTAGTAAAATTGCATCGGACTATACTATGGATCTAACATTTCTTTCCAAAGCATTGAAGAAGTACTTTTACATATCAATTATAAGTACACTTCTAAAATTGGAAAGGCATTTGTTGCATTGCGACAGTTCTGTGGTCGCATAAAATATGAGGTCATTTAGTTATTGAATTTACGAATAATATACTGTATGTGTGTTTTAAGTGTTCATTTGTGTGATTTGTCGATTTGTGTTTTCAATACTTTGTACTGGGAGGTGAACGGTACGCGAGCCGTATTCCGCACCACTAGATGGCGCTTATAACTTAACTGCCATTAAACGCAAAGAGAAGAAGATGAGTCATCCCACTCGCGCATGTCCGTTTCGATCGAGGGTAGTAAACAAAACACGGACCCACTCACTAACCTGTGTTTCTAGGTAGTAAACAAAACACGGACCCACTCACTAACCTGCTGACGCATTTACAGGTAAAATTCACGATCTTTTTTTTTTAAATCAATATTGTTCATTGAGTTATATGTAATGGATCAATAGTCTCGGATGTTATTAACACAAAACAGTGAACGCACATTTTGTTTATTATGTTAGCTTACATCGTAAAGCAAAATTATGATGGCTAAGTTTAATGCAGCTGACATCTCTATCTAAATCTCTGGTCAAACGGATGCGTTGGATATATTTATACAGTATCGTAAAGCAAAATTATGATGGCTATGTTTCATACAGCTGACATATCTCTAATCTAAATCTCTGGTCAAACGGATGCGTTGGATATACTGTACTGTACTGTATTTTTAATTTTGTGTGTTTTGGTGTTTTCGGTGTCAAAGCGGGTAGTAGAAGATAGTTTTTGCCACTTATCATCTAGCTAACAAGATGCGCTAGCATCACATCTTGAGTGTTAAAAACAATGCAGAATGCACATTTGACACTTCGTTCACAGTGTCTGACAACAGATTTTGCATTTTGTTTTGTCTGCAGCGCGAGTTAACGGAAGGTTTCTTTTTTTTCCCCCGTTCCCATTGGTACCCGACCCAGTCAAAGACAACCATCTTGGTAAAGGGAATCTCGTTTTGTCGTTTATTTTACTTCATCTCAGAGTGGCGCTTCATTTCTTTCTGGACCATTTCAAATGATAAGATTTGCCCCCGACTAGCATTGATATTTGGACCACGGAGGTATTTTAGAGTCAAACTAATGCAGGGGTTTTCCTGACTCAAATTAAGGCAGAGGTGATATCATCCTGACCATGCGCCATGACTGTGAATGTATTCTATAAATTCAACGGACTAACTTTCTTTTTACAGGAAACTTTCAGTTAAGAATTTCAATAAGAATATTACTACTATCATGTTAAAGCGTTCATTTATTATCTTGTGTGGTGTGGCCATTTTTGTTTGAAACACTCGTAGCCTTCAAGCGCTGTGTGGTCCTTGTCCACCTGTGCCTCAGCAGCTCGCTGCGGTGCCCTCCATTAAAAAAAAGAATGAATAAAAATCATAAACCATTGATCTAAACGATACTATTTTAGTTTTTGTAACTTTATTCGTTGAGGTTTTTAGCTACTACCATCTTTAATACACTTCTCCTTCTGCTGCTTTGTGAATGGCTGTCACCTGATGTCTTTTTAATGTGCCCAGCCTGTAATTGGTTAATGGCTATTTCACAAGGGAGGCATCGATTGCCTGCTGTGTTGGGGCGCAGTGCCTATGGCATAAATCACAGTGCATGCCTTCCTCAGTATGCCTGAGCTCGGTAAATTCATTTAGACACTGCTTCTCAAAGCCGTTTACTCGTGTGTTTTTAAGACAATATGGAAAGGGGAATAAAAATTAATATTTCAATCACCCACACTTTGAATTTGCGTTGTTATGCTACTAATGGGAAACGGAATTATGTGGCCTCGCCTCGCCGACTCATCCTGTGCTACATTCCGGCTCTCACTATCACTCGTGTTTCAGACCAGATTTCCACATGTTGTCACCACCATGAATTATTACATTTTAAATGCCTGTTGCGTTCATTTCTCTGCTCTCTTTCACTTGGAGTTGGCTTTCCTCCTCGCGAGTGGCTGATTTTCGCCGCCATACCTGCAACGCCAAAAATGATAAACATTCCTCTGACACAAAGGAAACTTTTCTGTTAATATTGCTTGGATGCAAAATACAGGTAATATTTATCTGCTAGGGGAAATCAGGACGTCGATAACACCGACGAGCAGGGGAGAAAAAAAAGAGATTTGATCAGTTTCTTCTTCGGTATTTGCTCAGGTGTTTGATTTGCACGTCTGTTGATGCAGCGCCTCCGTAGTGGCGTAACGCTGCAACTGCAGTTAACATATGTCGCTGCCGCAGAGGGACATCTATCCCTAAATCAGCAGAGGTGCAGCTTTACGCTATTTTGAGCGATATCAATCAATATGGCTGGGAGCGGCACAAAATTCGCTGGAGGCGGCCGCCGTGCAATTTTGAATTAAAAAAAAAACGTCAATTTAAACTTTACACATCATAAATAAAACACAATTGAATAGAATTTAGACGTACTGTGTCTACAAACAATACTGTCATGGAATAAACCACACCATTTTCACAGGCACATTGAACAACCCATTCTCAGACTGCCCACTTTTACATTTCCAGGTGTGACAATGGGGAAGCCATTTTCCCATTTCCTGAAACAGACGGCGTATCATGATGGTCAGGATGGCCTCACCGCTCACCTAGAAGACAGTCCAACAGAAGATGGGAAGGGTGGTGATGTTTCCCAATTTCCATATGTGGAGTTTACGGGACGAGATAGTGTGACGTGTCCTACGTGTCAGGGTACTGGAAGGATCCCGAGAGGTAACCCTTGCTTGTGGTGTGTTGAAATAATTGAGCTCACCCTAAAAGCTTTGTCTTAATTTTGTGACAGTGTGAAATTTCAGCACAAGGAAATGAAATACCGTATTTTCCGCTCTATAAGGCGCACCTAAAAGCATTCAGTCTTTTAAAAGCCAACAGCGTGGTTTGTAATCTGGTGCGCCTTATGTGTAGTGTTACAGTCTCTTTTTATTCCCCACAGGGTTGTTTCCCTTTTACTGTTCCGATGCCATCTAGTGGCGATTATTAGCAGGAACGAATTGTAACCTAAAGGGGTTCTGCTCGACACTAATTGCCAACACACACCCTCAAACGGAGAACTACTTTGTGAGCTCTGCGCAGCCATTATGAAACGAAGACAATACCAAAAGCATCGTTAAGTACTGACTAAACGAAGGAAGAAAGAGACAAGCAAGACTTCTGAGGATATTTATACGCTTGTGGACATGAACCCACGAGGTTTGTGTGCTTTTTTGTTGAATTAATTGTCTTCATTTATTGTTTTGTGTTGCCATTTTTATTTATGCCAAGGAATGAACCCTGTATTTTATCAATATCATTTTTACATCCTGAGGGAGCTGCGTATGGATCAATATTCAGATTTTTCGACGTAGTATTTTAAATGTTCTGTAAAGCGCTTTGTTACAGCTGCAGCAGTTGTAAAAGCGTTACATAAAGCTGCATTGTATTGTAATGTATTCCTTTTAGCGTAGCTCCATCTAGTGGATCCATAACACACCCACAGCCACTATTGTTGCTTCTATTCCATGCATCTTATACAGTCCTACCTTACGAAATTAATTGATTCTGGAAGAAATTTCTCAACTGGAAAATTTTGTAAGTAGAGATGCGTTTTCCATGTAAATGCCCTAATTCGTTCCGACCCTATATATGAAAACAGTTTTAAAATAGGCCATTCATTGAAGGTGCGCCTAATATTCTGGAGCTCCTTATAGTGCGGAAAGTACGGTACATTGACATGAATATCACATCAATGGCATCAGTTATCACTGTGTATGTTGTGTGTAGAATTTTGAGGACTTTTTGGGGGCGGGGGGTGTCATTTTTCTTTCCGCAGGACAGGAAAATCAACTTGTGGCGTTAATTCCATACAGTGACCAAAGGCTTCGCCCCAGGAGAACGTATGTATATTTATCTTTGTGTGCATAGCGGCTGAAAATGTCTACGAGAGCATTGTCAGCAATGTGCTCATAGCTGTAGCAATATTTTTCTATGACTGGATTTGCAGAAAAGTTCTTATTGTTGGAGGTAACCTAAACTGTGAAACCATCTTATTTTTTTTTTTTTTTTGTAGTAGGGTTTTATAGTTATGAGTCACATCTGAAGAAAATAATTGCGTACGCGTTTTTAAATTACAGAAACATCACATTTCTGCCCTGCAAAGTGGTTTCGGTTATCTGCATCCGAGAAAATGATCCATTTGTATGATGTTGATGCCTTCATTGGAGACTCATGACGTCGTCTTGTGTCTTTCGCAGGAAGTTGTATGTCACCGCATCGGTTGTTGTGTGCCTGCTGCTATCCAGTTTGGCGGTATTTTTCCTCTTCCCTCGATCTATCGACGTGACCTACGTCGGGGTGAAGTCGGTTTACGTCGGTTATGACAAAGAGAAGCAGAGTGTCTATTTGAACATCACGGTCAGTAAGGAAGTTTCTTTTCTCTGGTCTGAATTTATTCATAGTTTTGCAAACCATTTTCGTGCCCCCACAAAACAACCAATTTTTTTAATGTGTATTTCAGAAAGACAAATCACACTGTAACGTATGAACATAAAATGAAATGGAATAAAAAACAATTTAAAATAATACGGTTTTATAAAGTACCAAAGACATTGCGCATTTACTATATTACTGTATGTAATGATTTAACCACGTCAGAAGCTTTTGACCTGAGGTATGTGCATCCAAGCCGCAGGTCCAGTATTTACATCCATACTAACTGTTAGTATGTACGTGTTCTGTTATGCTTTGATTTTTCATAAAGTTGCAAAAAAAAAAAAAATCTCCCAAAACATGTTAGTTACATGTTGTGGAGAACTTTTAGGGTAACAAATAATTCAATCCATTTTGGAATGACAGTTTGGAAAAGGTGTTGGGAATGCTTTGCAGATACACTGTACACACCCGCACGTAAAAAAAAAAAAAAACACTGACACCACTCATTATTCTATAGATGATGATAATGATACTTTTGTGTGGCTCTTCAGAACACTCTCAACATCACCAATAACAACTACTACTCAGTCGAGGTGGCCAACATCACAGCCCAAGTGGAGTTCGTCAAAACCGTGATTGGCAAATCTCGTATGATGAACACGACTGCCATCGGCCCTCTCGACATGAAACAGGTACCCCACAGATGAAAGCTTATGAAATGTGCGTCCCAAACATCAACGTGTGAGAAATCCGACTCCCTCTTTCTTGTCAGATTGACTATATGGTCCCCACCGTCATAGTGGACGAGATGAGCAGCATATAGTAAGTGTTTACATGCCTATTTTTACATTCTTGTTCATTTGAATTCAATTCACACTGTGCTGGAAGTTTTTAAGATGCCCCTCAGGGCATTGGCAGTGAGAATTTAACTCTTTCATTCCACAAGACGTATTTGTACGTCTTTTTAAAATTAGGCCCCGCCTACCAAGGACGTACTTGTACGTCTACGTCATTTTTTTGCGTCATAGAGAGGAAGAGGGTCTGATGCAATCTGTGAATGAGACTAAGCCATTTGCATTGTAAATCATGTAAAAAAGCGACCAGTAGGTGGCAGTGGTGCCTCACGTGCTTGAAATGCATGCTTTTATAAAAAGCTATTTTTCTCAGTTTTTTGCCCAGGAATCGCCATTTTCATAAAACAGCCATTTTGTAATGCCGATTGCTGAAGAATGGAAAAAGATAGAAACATTTTTTTTCCTGCTGAAAGAAGAGAGTCCAAACTTTATTTTGGTAGGCTCCATGTTTATATAGCATTAGAACCAAATATTCTGTGGGCCTTACAAGATCAGTCCAAATCCAGTAAAACGCTGGGATTGAGGGGGTTGCTCCAGTGAAAATGGCTGCGATTGAATGAGTTAAACGACGGCCTGCGCGTGACCGCAACAGATCACTTGGCTTCTCATACCTTCCTTGGGGCTAACTAGTACCCAGTAGTACCATGTTTTTTTTTCCCTTAATTTTTTTAGGAATATGCATTTTAATCTATCCTTCCATACAACATAGAAAAAAGATGTTAGCGTATGCTCTCGTCTTCATCCGTCCTACCAGTTTATGTGTAACTGCTCACCCCTCCCTTCTCTGCTCAGGTGAGCAGGAGTGGGAAAGAAAAGAAACCCCCACCAGCCTCTCCAATTATCGTCAGAGAGGGGGCTTGATTTGTGATTTCTTTAAACAACCAATCATTGCAGCGGGAGTTTGCCTGCTTTAGGGTCCCCTCAAAAAGAAATGCTCATTACCGGTGACGGACAGTTTTAACAGTCATTGAAACCTTTTTGTTTTTCAAAACCACTGTCAACTGTCATACCGGTAAATGACCCATGCCGGATGCCCAACACTTAATTCCTAAGCAAATGCCTTATGACATCAATGACGTCGTCCCTAACCTGACGGTTTTGTTGAAATTTACAGTGACTACTGTACCCTGCAATCCATCAAGGTTCACAACATAGTTTTCATGATGCAGTAAGTCGTCCTGGATCTTAACTCTTGTCAATTCCAACATGCGAAATGGTGTGGGAGTCTGTAAACCTGCCCTTATTCTCACCCCGCTCTCCAGAGTGACTGCCACCACCACATACTTCAGCCATGCTGAGCAAGTGTCACAGGAGATGTACCAGTATGTCGACTGCGGTGGGAACACCACTTCCAACAGCGGAATGACAAAGCCGTTTCACATCCCACATCCCGAGTAACAACCTGACACTACCACTCAAAGCATTTGAAGTTCTTTCGTGTTACTCTGTTGTCTAATTTTCTTCCTACCCTTCAGATGAAGTGTCACATTTGTTGTATGATTTCAAGAAACGAAAATCCAGACTGAATCAACCCAGGAAAGCTCTTCTTGGCAAATGTAATGTCTCTTGTGAACATTTGAAGAAAACGACCATCACAATACTTGAAAAAAAATAAGGTACTTATAAGGTTTGGAGTGAGTAAAATAATTACCGTATTTTCCGCACTATAAGGCGCTCCTTGAATGAATGGCCTATTTTAAAACTGTTTTCATATAGAGGGCGAACTGGATTATAAATCGCATGGAATAGAAGCTACAATAGTGGCTGCAGTTGCGTTATGCATCCACTAGGTGGATTCACACTAAAGGGAATACAATACAATACAGTTTTATTTATACAGAGCCTTCACAACCGCTGCAGCTGTTACAAAGCGCTTTACACAACATTATAAATACTACTTCCAAGAAATTAGAATATTGATCCATTTGGAAGGCGCATCGGATTATCCGGCACACTGTGTCGGCTTTTGAGAATATTGTATGCGCCTTCTAGTGCGGAAAATACGGTAATGTGGCCGCGTGGTGATTGAGTGCTTAGCATGTCTGCTTCACAGTTGAGCGGTTTGAGTTAGAATCGCGGCTTAGGCCCTCCCGTGTGGATTCTATGCATTCTGCCCCATGCTCGCGTGAACTTTCTCCAGGTACTACAGCTTCCCCTCGCATACCAAACTTGTGGCATGTTAGATTGATGGAAGACTGTAAATTGGTTCAAGTGGGAAGTGCAATTTGTTCAGGTGTGTGCGGCGATAGGCTAGCAAGTCATACAGAGCAAAAGTTGTCAAAAACAAAGTCTGGACAGTGATGTAACATTGCTCTACAAATGCAATGCATCGCAATCGACTATATGTATATGACAGCTAGAGATGAGTGACTTACTATTATCCTGGCAATTTTGTACGCCCCGGAACCCTTCTTATGAGTTGATGAACTACTGACGTTTTTATTATTGTTTTCCTGAAAAAGAAAAGGAATTCCGTGCTGCAGATCTGTTGTTTCCCACTTCACAAGGCATTTATTTTACACATTAATTTTATCAACAGTACAATTTTTTTTTTAAAAATTAAGATGACATGCAGACACATTTTAAGCAACAGTATCATTCCTTCATGAATTTTTCCGTTAGCCATTGCTGTATTTGGTGATGCGTTTGAATCCACACTGAGGCGTTTCCGTGTGGATTTGCATGTGCTCTCTTTGCTAGTTTGGGTTGTTGCGGGTCGCCGGCAGGACAAGCCGTACACAAAATAAATAGACAGATTCACTTGTCGATACATGAAGGAGAGCTCCAGATGAAAATGAGAACCCGATGAAGCTTAGCCTGAATGCACTTTAAGTCTTTCTGAATTGCACTCTCAGCATCATGTTCCCGCAAGCTAATTTCCTCCAGCACACTTTTTTGGGAGCAAACTTTTGTTGGATAATTTGAGAATGCAGAGGCCGTTCCGTTATGAAAATAATAATATAACAATAGGCTTTATTTGACTAAACTATTATCACTGGACATTGCGCTTTGTGGACACTACTACAGTCAATAACTAATGCTGTGTTGTTATTTTGGTCCTTCTCAATTTTGTGAGGTTAATTTTTTGTGGTCTTTTTGGAGTGGGTGCATGTTTCACAAGTGATTGCAGTAAAGACGTTGACATTTTGGGGATAAATGTACATGCAAAACCCCGATCGATAATGATGTCTTTGTACAAGTATTTCAGACCGTTTTAGATCATCCTGATTTTTTTTTCCCTCATTGTAAAAGATAGCTTTTTGTTGGTGAAGCAATATAACCTATAACCACTGATGCATCACCAGCTCATCTCGTTTATAAAATAATGCCACCTTGTTTTTTTTTTGTTTTCATTTGTCACTTGTTTAGTTTCTACACTAAAAGCAGCAGTCGAGATTTTTCTCCCTTCAGTATTGTCGTTGAATAACATTTGCTATAAACCAGAGTTACGATTGTACAGAGCTTGATTTAAAGAGCATTTAAAAAAAAATATCCTAGCATACACTGTGAGTTGTCAAATGCAATACATGAGGCAAAGTTGTTTTTGATTTTTATTTTGAAAATGTTTCATCGATTTGTGATTGTGTTTTATGGGATTTTGATTGTGTTCCCGAATTATCAGTACATATGGAATTTAAGTTGAATAAACAGATTGAAACATCAATTGTTGCTGTTCTCTGGCATCGGGCGGAAGCATCGAATCTCTAAAACTGTCATGTTTTGGGGGAAAAAAAAAAGGTTTGTTGAGCCATTAACATTGCATCGTCAAAGAGTGTGAGCTACTTTCAACACTTTAGATTGGTGTTAGAGGAATTTATGAGCAAAATTGTATCATGTTTAAAGTTTCATTTAATTTGGACACATCTAAACGTTTGGGCGCGTATCCAGCACTTCCAAATGCCTGTGCACAAAGGCGCCGGCCACCTGGCCGGAGGGCTGTTGAAGTCCACAATTAGCACGTCAATGCAGGTGGGCAATCACAGGGGAGGGGGCGAAACTCGGTCACAAAAGGGGAATGAATAATTTGGGAACAGCGGTTGAACAACAAAAGACGAGTTGAGAACACCCGTCGCGCCCAGGCGACATTTGTCGTCCGCGAAGTCTGCAACATGTTGATACAGTGTGGACCAGACAGAAAGGCGCCAATGTACTGGTGGTTCAAAGCTTAAACTCAGGTAACCAATCACTACCGAGGGGCCGGACCGGGGGTGCGGTATGCAAATGTCGGGGGCAGTGTTTTCCTTGTATGTTACAATAAAAGTCGGAATTGGCGGGAAGGGAGCTCGAGAGTGTGATCATCGGAGCAACTACCGTCGTTCGCTCTCAGAGATCCCCCTCCCGCCGATATTGAAGACAATTTTCCTGTGTGCCGAGTCATTTCTTTAACTTTGTCCGAGAAAATCTCTGACAATTGGTCAATAATTTTAACAAAAAATAATATATGAAGTTGACCAAATCTGTTGAACCACCTAACACTTTTATTTTCTTGACCTGGACAAATATATTTGGCAAAATTTGGCAAAATGACATCATAATTATTACAGACTCTAATTGTGTGTATCGTAAAGTTAATTTAACCCCTTCCTACACCCTGTAACCGGATAACGTGACAAAGCTGTCCACTGTCGGAACCGCTGCCCCTGAAAGGGTTCATATTAAAATTGTCCAAAATAAAGCCACAAAAAAATATGTCCATTAAAACAAAAATAATCAATGAATGACAAAAACAAATCTCAACTCAACTGTATTTATCGAGCACTTTAAAACAACCACCGCTGTATACAAAGTGCTGTACATGGAGCAAATATCATGTATACAACAATAAATCACAGGTGTCAGTCAAGGCCCGGGGCCAGATCCGGACCGCCACATCATTTTATGTGGCCCGCGAAAGAAAATTATGCGTGTCAACTGGCATGGTCTTTGCTAAAATCTCGACTGAAATGTCAAATTGTCACGTGTAATAAATGCCGTTGAGATTTTCCAATCATTTTGTCACCCTGTTTACGCTCACTTCAACAATAATGGAACAAACAACAAACCAAAAGCTGTTTTTAAGACACGTCACAAGGAAGCAGTGACAGCTCTGATGAAGGCTGAAATGACAGCCGAAACTGTCAGCCAGGTAAGAGTTGAAGAGAAACTTCATCAAAGACCATTGTCTGGAAAAAATAACCTTTAACTCTCATTTAACAAACAAATCGTTGACTTGAGTGATTTCGAAACTAGTAATCCATCAATTGGTTGTGGACAAGTTATGCGAAGAGATGATTAAACATTTATTCGGTTTCACTGAAACATAACTCCAAAGTTGCCCGCGACAAAAATGAGTTTGACACCCCTGCAATAAATTAATAACAAAGACAGTAGAACCACAAAAACAGTAAAAACTAAAAATCAAGTCTGAGTCATGCCAAAAGCTAAAGAAGAGAAATGAGCTTTGAGACGTGTTTTAAGGATGGGCAGTGAGGGGGTCTTGCCGAATGTTCAGTGGGAGGTCATTGCAAAGAGAGGGACCAGCAACGGCCCGATCCCCTCGAAGCCTCCGCTTTGTTCTTGGTACCTCTACTAATGTCTGGTCCGCACCGGGCAGGTGTGTAGGGGCGGAAGAGCTAAGAGAGGTAAGGTGGAGCGAGGCCATTTAAAGATTTGAAAACAAATAACATCTTAAAAAGAACTCTAAAATGTATAGGGAACCAGTGAAGGGATGCCAGAAAAGGAGTCGTGTGCTCCCTCTTACGAGTACCAGTCAAGAGGCGAACAGCAGCATTTTGGACCAGCTGGAGACGCTTAATGGAGGATTGGAGGATGATTAAGTATTTGATTTTAAGTCCTGCTCTGTTTACGATCCAGCTGCGGCCCATATTATTGAACTAAAAATTGTAGAAATGGTTCACACCACATAAAAAAAAAAATAAAATCAAGCTCCTCCCATTGGCCATCTCGGTACCCAGACCTCAACCCCATTGTAATTCTGTGGAATGAGCTAAAGAGGAGGAGCAGTAATAGTACAATTTTGTTGTGAATGCGTGTGTAAAGTGGTCCAAATTGTTACTAAATGTAACATTTTCTGCTGTTACCCTTGTAAATAGTTTTGAGACAACTGGAGAGGTTTATTCATGAAGAATGGGCCAAAATACATCTTGAGAGTTGCGGAAGTCTCGTTGAAATTTACAAAAATCGTTTCATTGCAGTGTTTGCCTCAAAAGGTTCTGCAACACAATATAGGGTACAATTGTTTTTGTCCAGGCCTGTTTCTTGAGTTTTTTTTTTTTGATTCGTTTTATTTTATTTATTAGTGCTTTTGTCCGATTCGATTTATTTCTGTGACCACTGCGAATTTTTCTTTCATGAACAGCGGGCTACCTGTAATTGTGTACGCGACTATGAATATACCTTTTCAACAGAGGAGGTCGTGTTTGTTTTTGGCATACCTCAGTTTCTTAAATGTTTTTGTTTTGTTTGTTTGGATAAGTTGTTTCATTACAAATACTTCTAAACTGTATTTAGCTGCCGATGTTTTGTTTTTAACCGACATTGGGTAAGAAGTGTGCGACAGCCTCGAGAAAGTGGGTACAGAAAACGGATCAAGATGAGTTTGTTATTAATTTCATTTTTATCTCACTTCCCCGGCCTAGCGTCTTTCTGTTTAGTGCCTATCACATTTTTTTTTTGTTGTTTTTGTTTATTCGGTTTTTGGTGCTGCTTAACGTGTGTTTCATTCCAGCAGCTGCCTCTTCAAATTACAGTTTTAAAACTGTTGGGATAGACGAGCAGACATTCTGATGCTTCCCTCGAACGTCCACACGAGGCCAGCACCAATACGTGAAAAGCCCAAACATCTTTTTTCTCGTCATAACCGAAGCTTACTCGTGTCATAGGCCTAAACATCTAAATATGTTTAAATCATCGATTTTCCACTGGTCTTTTGTAGTAATTGTTTTGAGTGGAATCAAAACTTATTTTAAATAAACAACTTTAACTTGAACCACCCACACTTTTAGATTATTATAAAAGTATTAATACAAATTAGTGTCTTTTTAAGACATTTATCACAAAAGAATAACTACTTCTTGGATTCGTTTCACGACAGTGTTTGTGTGTATTTTTCCCACAATAGGGATGGCATTTATAATTAGTGACCAAGTTAAGAGTGTGAATTATGAATCACGGTTCATTTGAGGTCGCGGTTTCGTGGGCAGACTTATTCTCATAGAGTACAATCTAGCGGCGAAATAAATTAATTTTGTCTTTTACGGGTACATGGTTCAAAACAATAATTCCGGTCGCGTATCACTTAAGAACTTTGTCTTTATTTTATATTCGCAGAGTGCTATTCATATACAGTATATAGTAACGTTTTTTTCAGGTGTCTGCGTGTCTATTGCAGCGGCAACGAAACTGTCTTTACCATAATAAAAGCTATGGCGTATATTACCGCACAGTCGTCAGTCAATCAAAATAAATATTTCAATTTTAAATTGATGTATTATTCAAACGACTTAAATCTAATACACGACTTAGTTAGGTAAATCTAATTAAATGTCATTAATGGTGGTTTAAAAATACACTCAAAACCTGTCATGGCTTATCAGACAATGTACTTTGAAACTCCTTACCGGAAACTGTAATGCTGATCCAACAGGCTTGACGTTTCCGGAGAAGGTAGGGAGGTTCTAGTTTCCTCGGGAGATATCAGAGCGTTGATGCGCGGAGAGGGAATTACGTGTATGTCTCCTGAAAACCAGCGACCAATTAATAATGGCCTAATAATCGCCGCCAGTGTAAGTTTCTCTCCAATTATACAATTTTAAAATCATTTTATTGTACCTTCCGTCAAAAGAACGTGATTAATTTGGCCACATTTATCATTGTTCTTGGTGTATCGCAGGTAGACATAAGCGTTGTTTATTAATTGTGGTGCAGCGGAGCTTTTGACAGGGCTTTATAAAAACAACTTTTACTCCCAACTTCTGGGAAACTGACGAAAAAAAACACATCGTTCTCCAACTCAAGCTTTTCTAAGCCAAATTGATGTAGAATTTTTTCCTTTTATTTTATTAGGAGTAAATTAACCATAACCTGTCGTGTGTGCATTTTGTGATTATGTTATCAGCCTTCAAACCCGAGTTTCCAGTCAATGTTTTTAGTTTGTGTGAAGAGAAAAAAAAATCAACGCCATCAATGAGCTGCGTGTGGAAATAAAGCTTTGTGTTTATGCACCAAAATCAAGTCATGTATTGAGAAAATAAAGCAGATTTTCAACCGTTCGGATTACATTTTATAGTCTTGAAGTATGACTCGACTGCTCCGTGTGGCTCCTGACAAGTTGTGCATTTTAATACACGTCTTCTGTTGCTGAGCAACACGTTAGGCGAAACTTTGTGCTTGTATTTTTCACCGCGTTCTCACATCAGGTACAGACCTTGGATTTCAGGACAAAGCCAAAGCCTTTGTTTTGTTTTGTTTTTTTGTTTTGTTTTTTCGCTTTCACTCTCGATGTAGAAATTAGCGTATGAAATCCTCCTTTGACGCTGTGGGACTGCATGTGCAAATGGGTTGCTATCCACCCTGCTGTTTTATTTCCCATTCATCTCTCTGTTAGGATCATGTGTGGATGTGTAGTCCAAAAGAAAAGGCGGCTCCACCTGTTGAGCGTTCCGTCTTTTTGTAAATTACTTAGCGTGCTTAGTCTTGGCAAATTTGACTCATTATGCATACCATCTTGACCCCCACCCCCCTCCTCCCCAGGCTCTTGCTACTGCAGAAGAAAAGCAGCCCGCTGAATTTTAAGTGACCTCCTGCTCCAGATACCAAGATGGGGAATGGATTATCAGAACTCACCTGCCCCCTGTCTTTCCAGCCTCTGCACATTGTCATACTTGGATTGGATTGCGCTGGCAAAACCACAGTGCTGTATCGGCTGCGATTCAATGAGTTTGTGAACACCGTCCCGACAAAGGGTTTCAACACGGAGAAGATCAAAGTGTCACTCGGGGATCACCGGCGGACGACGTCCTTCCACTTTTGGGATGTAGGAGGTCAAGAGAAACTGCGACCTCTGTGGCGTTCGTACACCCGCTGCGCCGACGGCATCGTGTTCGTCGTGGACTCTGTGGACGCCGAGCGCATCGAGGAGGCGAAGACGGAACTGCACAAGATCACCCGGCTGGCGGAGAATCAAGGGGTTCCCGTGCTGGTGGTGGCCAATAAACAGGACTTGAGGAACTCGCTTAGCATGACTGAGATGGAGAACATGTTGGCCCTCGGGGAGCTTAGCGCGGCCACGCCTTGGCACCTGCAGCCGGCTTGCGCTATCATCGGCGAGGGCCTGCCGGAAGGCCTTTGCAAACTGCATGCGATGATCACAAAGAGGCGGAAGATGCTGCGACAACAGAAGAAAAAGAAGAAGAGGAGATAATGCGCACATTGTTGGAAATGTAAAATGTGGCATGCATGAGAATTTTTTTTTTTCCGTCATCCTGTGGTCGGATCGCTGAGTGGAACGCTTGTTCGGGTCAGTTAGCATTAAGCTCCGATCGAGGACAATCTGATCAATTTTGCCCTGTGGATGAACCTGTCAAAAAATACGGATGGAAGTACAGTATTACCAAACTTTTTTTTTAATAGGTTTGAGTTAAAATGTTATCGATGGCGAGTGCACTGCCAATCTCATGCTGTCAAAACAATCAATTTCTGTATTTTGACGATATACCAAAGCTTGTTTTTGGAGAATACAGATCGGGACACACTGTATCGTTTCGCAATGCAATCAAATGTATATTTTGTGACTCTGCAGGAAATGTTGTTCTTATTGTTGCACAAAGATTTGTGTCTTTTGGACGTTTACATGATGAAGACAGGAATGCACAATGTGACACAATAAGACTCCAAATATTTTGACCAGTGTTGTACTGAGAGCCAGATCTTGAACATTGTGTCCTTTCGCACAAAAATACACAACTAATGTTGTCCTTCTGATGAGGTTTATAACTATGACTGGTGTATTACTACTACTACGACGACTACTACTTCGACAAAAAAACAACAAAAAAAATTAAAGAATACCATATTTTTCGGACTATAAGTCGTTCCTGAATATAAGTCGCACCAGCCATAAAATGAATAATGAAGAAGAAAAAACACATAAGTCACCTTTTTGGGGGGAAATTTATCTGATAAACACCAACACCAAGAACATACATGTCACCTTGAAAGGCAATTTAAAATTGAAATAAAATAGAGAACAACAGGCTGAATGAGTGTACGATATGCTAACGTCACATGACGCATAAACAACGAACTGAGAACGTGCCTGGTATGTTCACGTAACATATTAATAGTTATTCAGATAACTCTAGCATAACGAATGTTTATCAAACCATCGGTGTCACTCCAAATCACTAAATTCAATGAAATCTTCATCCTCTGTGTCACTTCTAAACAACTCCGGAGATATAAAATGCGGCGTTTCCTCTTCTACTCGCTTAAGTCTGAGTCCTCTTCAGTAGCAGTACGAATGCAATGATTCCAGCCTTTCTGAATCCTGACAGGGTGGTCCAAACGTTCTTTCTGCTCCATTACCGTTTTCGGTCGCATATTTCACTACTTGCATTTTGTAATCTTCAGAATATGATTTCCCTTTCGGTGTCATTTTTGTTCAGCCCTTCTCAATTGTTTTTATTCAATACCGGTAGTATTATTTTAAGTTACCGCCAGTGTTAAAATCATCAACACGGGCCTAGAGCGCCCTCTTGCGGTTTAATGTGAAAACAACATGTGAAATGATACAATAATGTGTTAATAATTTCACACATAAATCGCTCCAGAGTATATATCGCACCCTTGGGAAACTATGAAAAAAAAACTGCGATTTATCCTCCGGGAAAATGCAGTATCCGATGCTATTCTTTGCTAAACTGTTACGGTATGATTCTGATTGACCATTCAAGTCTTGTACAGTTAACATCAACTTGTTACCTTGCTGGCTCGACCGCATGGTGAATTGTTAGCATTCAAGTTAATATTCTTTGCCACCGAAACCTGTTAACTTGTTTGTTTATTTTTGTTTTTTTTTCTTAATATCCCTTTCCAACGCTTTTCTTGTTACGAATGCTAATTTTAAAAATTTACATCTCGCCCAGTTAATGTGAATTGAGTGGGCCAACATTATTTAGTTGATCTGTTAGCATGCCTCAACTATTTTGACGAAAACACCACGTGATATTTACTGTTTATTGATACTGCGCAAATGTGTTCGTCCATTCCGTTGGTCAGTAATTTTACAAAATTCAGACTGGTGGTGATCGCAGCATCGCTCCGGAAAAAGTTGCCCAAAACTCAAGCAATAGTGACTGCTGCCCTTTGTGAGGACGACTTCCATTTCCACCTCTGTTCAACATGCCACGGACATTCCGGAATCGTGCGCCGATTTGCAAACGTTAATTTTCTAACTGTGGCAATCGGACTTGCCATCTAAAATGTGATCGCCGCGTCCCGGCGGCGTGAAAATTATTGACCGCAGGCGCTGTGTCTTTATCACTAGCACAGACCCGCCCGTGTGTGTGTTTTGTGTCATGTGTTTTAATTGACAAGCTCTTTTTGGCTCTGCAGGAACATTCCCCAGGTCAGCCCTTTAAAAAAAAAAAAAAAGGCAGTTGCGTGTTCATCACAACCGGCATGTCTCAATGCACTTTAAATGGTCCTATTTATGACTTTTCCAAAAGGACTAAAATCACGAAATTGTCATGAGATGGATAGTATTGACTCGAAAGAAGCATTTGATCATATTTATGTGTTTATTTCCTCTCGTTCCTTTGGAATAAAGCAAAGAAAAATGAACGACAGCTGCCGTTGTCTATTTCATTTGTCAATTCCGAGGAGAGTCTGGGTTGAGAAACTTTTGGGTATTATTCACAAACGTGTTTGGAAATTCGCTGTCGTAATGGTTGCATGCACTGTATGGATCGCCCGATTTGACTGCGCCGTGTTGTCTCCTTGTTGTTGTTTTTATAGGTTTAACAAGGACATGTCCATGTTTTGTCTCTACGCTTTAAATGTGCACAACCTCAAAGCAAACTCTTGAATTTTGAAAGACAATCGATTTGTTTTGCACACGGTATCTGGGAACCAAAAAAAAAAAAATCACGTGATCAACTCTCGTGTTTATTTTTATTCCGAATTGGCGGAATAAAAGTTAGCTAAAATTTGCCTGGTCATTAAATTAAAAAAAAATAAAATAAAAATAAGATCATGGCAGATATGCTTGAATCCTTGTTCAAATCCTTTCAAAGAATTACGTTTGTCAATGCAGGTCATCGCTCATATCGTGTGCCAAATGCAAACGTGGCTAATACTCAATCTGCTAACGCCTCTTTTGGCCAGAGCTTGTTTACTGAACATATAAATGGATAACAGTAATTTAGCAGGAAGTAAAGGGAAGTAAGAAAAAAAAATCATCATCATCATCGAGCACAATTTACACGTTTTAAGGAAGTAGGAAGAAGTAAATAAAAACTTATGTGGTCCTCCACCTTGTTTGTGAGTTTTTACCTGATTGATATTAATATATTAATAGATCATTCATTGAGTGTGTCTCAATCCGAAAAGAAAAATAAAAAAGTCAACATATAGACCAGGGCTCGGGAACCTTTTTGATTAAACTAAAAGAGCCATAAAAGAAAAATATTTTAAAATGTATTTCAGTGAGGGCCAAAGTATTTTAAAAGTGAATTCAACAAAATGTCAGTATAATAAGCCTCTGAATGTATTCTTTTAAATAATTTTGTCCTAATGCTCACCGTTAATGTGAATGGTTTTCCGTTCCTCACAATTGCTAAAAATCACCACAAAGCATTTATGCTCTGGGCACCAAAATGGCTAGCGCCGGCCCTGGATGAGAGAATACAACACACAAACTTCCAATACGGTCAATAGTACTCAACATTGCGGTATTTGTCGTACTTGGAAGCTTTCTTTTCCCCGTAAACATTTTTTGGAGTCCTCTGCGTTCTTGTCAACCAAAGTACATAAACATGACATTAAACTAAATTCTGACTACAGTAACTGAAAATGGATGGCGTTTAGAGTTGCCTCCTTTTTTGGAACTATTAAAGCTTTTACTTTTCTTCATTTGAAGCGCACACAATGTGTCAGCCAAAACGCAGATTGAAGCAGGGAAAGGGCAGACACGTAGTTATCGGAAAAGTGTTTTGTTTTGTCCTGTACCAGTCAGATAAAGATCGGACTCGTGTATCATCGGTGCCTCTTCTGTTGATGCCAGTCAGTACAAAAGTGAAAACATCCTTTCCGAGAGGAAAAACTCTCAAGTGCCGTCCTTTGCCTAGTTGTGATGAAACTGCTACTTAAGCACACATTTTTCTTTTGGAATCACCACAAACATTTAGCTTAAGATTAATTTTGAATATCTGCGATGACCAAATATAACCTCAACTTTTTGCTCAACCCGTGTGTAGTTAAATTTACTTCTGAATCACTGTAAATATCATATTTAGCTTGCTCGTGTTTGTGTTTGGTCAGCAGAGTGAAATCTCAAAGGTCACAATCCAGAATGCTAGTTGACCTGCGGTTCACGGGGGTGGGCAAAACTGTTTTTTTTCCGATAAGGGAAACAAAAGAAAGAAAAAAAAACATTCCAGTACCAAACGACTTTCACTAATCATAAAAGTCTTATTCACTCTCTAAATATTTCCAAATTACGATTTTAACATTCTTAACAGTCAGACAAGCGCAAGATTATTATTATTTTAAGATGTAAATCCAATATTTCAAAAAATGCAGGTCCTAACTTGGAGGCAGAATCAAAGGAGATTCGGAGATGTGCCTCACACGTTTCACAAGTTCGACACATGGAGCCAAAATGTATTTCGTGGCCAAATCAAAATTATTTAGATGTCGTGAATCCATTCCAGAACCCCCAATCTGCTACAGGTTTTCGGTTACATGCTTTAGCTGGGAAAAAAAAACAGTCCAGTGTTGACAAAAGCATGCAAAAACAAAATGAAATAGCTTTAAAAATTAGGAACATGGCTAATCTTTCTGTTAGCTTTTAGCTCCTAGCAAGTGTTTTACATTGCATATTTGTGTTGGAAAATTTGGGGACTCTTGAGTGGAGTGATAAAAGATGAGACAGAATGGCACATCCATACAAGTTCGGTGATTTCGCAAATGTATTTTTGTTTCCCAGCTCCCCACCCCCCAAAAAAACTCGCGTAAAGTTTTAGTGGCATGTCAGGTTGAACCTATCCCTCCTCTGTGGTCCTTGGCAGCTGAACAACCAATACAGAAAAGTACACTGGGAAAGGTTTCAGGGGTCACATGTTCCCAAACAGTCCCTCCGACTTCCAGGAAACACGGAGACTCTTTACTTTTTGAGCCAAAAAGTCAACAGCGCGTGTATTTGATACTCATCAAATGTCAGGTTTTTGTGCGACCAAAATTAGAGCAAGGTCAATAAGTTTTTTTCCACAATTAATTATTGTAAAACTTTAAGAAGAAACAAAAATCAGGGTCAGGGTTCCATTTAAAAAAAATAATAATAATTACATTTCCCAAAATATTGCATATGTTGAGCATTTTTGGTCATAATTTCCTTAGCGGTTGCTGTTAGATGAAGTTTATCAGCTCAGTCTTTGTGCACATGAAGAATGAAGAGATTATTCTATATGTTTCCCAAGCATTGCGCTTCTTCGCTATAACTCAAATGAATGTACCAGAATGAATATGCAAATTAACGTCGGCCATTTTGCGTATTGGTTGTTAACGAGCGAATCGGCAGGCTAGCAAAGAAACAGGCGAGAGAAACTGCAACATTTTATGAACTTAGTAACTTTCAAAGTAACAGCAGCAACAAATACGAGAATCTTGATTGACATATCGTGTTTCTATTTGTATAATCCAACATGAAACCTGGTTTTTTTCGCCAGTGACACAGACCGTAGCAGATACCAAAGTGTTTGTTTGTTGCATCCCCTCCATTCATTGTCTTAAAGCTGAAACC